ACGAGTATAGACCTACCGGAATGCCTGCTAATTGAGGTTTTCCTAACAGATCATGAAGCTCATTTTTGGCAGTCTCCATATGTCCGTGATCTGCAGCATCCACCATGTACCTACAAGGAATGCATTTCGTCAGCTTGCTCATCCTTCATCATAATGTCCCTGAAGAACCACGACACATGTTTATGTCAAATTAAAGAAAATGCATGTCTTCTTCGGCGTGAAAACTAAATTTCCAGGGCCTAAAGGGAGTTAAAACTCAGTCTTAATTCCTAAGTCTTTAACCAGGATCTTTTGATACTTCGGTAACGTAACATACTGCAGGCCAACGTGATTTGAACGCATGACCTCTGAGATACCACATACTCTTCCAGCTGAAGTATCAAGTAAATTAGGAGCTGGTAATTTTATGAGTTAGTTATATGCCATGGAAGATAAAGATAACCTACACAATGCAATCGGTTCCTTGGCAGAACCCTTCCCACATTATCCTAAACCGAGGAGACCCTCCAATGTCCCAGACCTAGTAAGGAGAAATAAAAAGTAAAGCCTGAAGAAGAAGGAAAAGAGGAAATAAAGGGGAGGTGGGGGAGAGAGAGGGAAAGGACGTATTTAATAGGTTGGCAAATTTAGGGACACCTGCCGGATGTGTGCCACTAAAAAAAAAATGTCCTGCATTGCTTCCGAATTGGCTGGTAAAATCTCAAAGTAACTTCATCAGCCACAACTTTCGTTATCAGAATTTCCAGATAGTGAGTTGCATCATTGGAATTAAAGACATCGAAGTCTAAAGCACTTTAAAGGAGAAGGAACTCTACACTAGGTAATATATTACTACCTTTAAATTAAACTTTGACTTTTCTTTTAGAATCTAATTGTGTTCCTAGATTGTGAAAATCAAATTAAAATCATATCCTAATGATAGGTGATCAGATACCTTTAAAATACCATTCCCATTGGTATATGTTTTCATCTGCCACCCAATTGTAGGTAACATGTCCTCTGGCTTGAACTGTTTACCAGACTATAAACATAGATAAAGGAAGACATTTTAAGAGCGCATACAAGCAAGATGTCAACAAGACCCAAAATGAAATAACAGTTAATTAAATATATCATATTATATATTTTTTATTCATTTGAAATTTTATGA